GATTTAAACTGTCTAGAAAGTTCTAGAAATTGTAACAAGTTTTTAGTAATGTGTACAAATTTCTTGTACATAAAAAGTTGTGTGTGTTACAAAAGCATTTGTTCTCAGGATATGTTAGTGAATTGACAACGTCAGTCCGACCAGACAAGTCGGAGCACTAGGTGATGTTTATGTAAAGAACAGAAATACTTTCATGTGTATAGTTTTTTTTGGTATCACTATGTACTTTGTCTAGTATTTACTCTCCCGTGCCACAAATTGTCTCTAACTTAACAATGTAGGGTAAAACAACTAGTTCATAATACTGTTATCACGTACACGATACCGTGCTGTAAAAGTATCGGAATGAGCACTTTGACCCCCACCCATATACATAGGGTGAAGTGTATATAGTTTTATTTTAAATATAATTTTGTATAAGAACATTAATACATTTATTTGCAGCTAGTAGACATTGAATGTAGTAATTCTGATGTTAATATTTAAACAGCAAATTGATGGAGAAGCGTTTCTTCTTCTGAATCAACCAGATATCGTAAAGACCCTGAATATCAAGCTTGGACCAGCCATCAAAATTTACAACAGTATCTTGTTGTTAAAAAATGCCACAGACAGCTGAGATTGACAGACTTCATGTTGGAAGTGGTGAATATCTGTGATGTCACAATACCATAAACTAGGGCTAATAAAATATCACAAATAGCTTTCATGTCATGGTACTACAGTTGCTTTGTAAAATAAATGTCAGGTCAGATAACCAAAACCTATCAAAGGAGAAATTTCATATTGTGCTACTATAGTTATATTGTTAAATAAATGTCAGGTCAGAGGTCAAATAGTTGTCTTCCTCATTCCTTGCTGACAACATTATTAAAGGCGATAAAGGAATGGAATGATTGGTTATTGATATTTACGTTCTGTTGTTATATTTTCTTTACATATTATTAAACGTACCAAATAAGAGTTAATAGAAATCTATGCAGAAATAGAACAGTGTTATTTAGTACCTAGAACTCTCTACAAAACTCTTTAAAGACATGGTATTGTTACAATTGCTAGATCTTTCCAGACAATTATAAATCGTGGTATTCTTACACTTTCTAGAATGCTCTATCTAGTTCTTAAAACCATGGTAATTGCCACATTATATATACGTACATACATAGAGTATGTTTGGAATTATAATCGACATTCCTTTTACAATACAGGTTAGGTTCAATGAAACAGCCATGTGTACATTCGGTTAATGCAAAAATAAGTTACAATATCACCAAAATCTTTAATTCAAAGAGCAGTTGAATGAGGATCAGTTAAATAACTTAAGACGATAGCTTTTTCCATAGTTAATTTTCTCCTAATCTCTTATGATAGTAAAAGTACAAAAACATATTTGTTATTATTATGTCTCAATAATGTCATTCGTTTAGTACATTTAAAAAAACAAAACAAATACGATTACTAGCATTTCATCACCGAGAAAAGTTGTAACAAAAACTCACCTCTTCTCTGAAAACTTTAGCCTGTTCCACACAACCAGGCAGGGTTTTTACAAAGTTACTAACTTCTTTTATTGACCAGTTTGTCACTAGTTCTCGGGAAACATTCTGGATGTTTGGAAAAATACATGAATGATTATCCCAACGTGCTGGTCGAAGAACCCGTATTCTATAATTGATCCCAGTACACTATATTTTATAAACATGTTCAGCCAATGATACATTTTATATTAACTGTATTCTATAATTGATCCCAGTACACTATATTTTATAAACATGTTCAGCCACCGATACATTTTATATTAACCGTATTATATAACTGATCGACAGTACACTATATTTTATAAACATGTTCAGCCAATGATACATTTTATTTACTTGGTTTGTTTTTTCCTGTAGAAGATGCCCAACCCCTGGCTGTGATGGATCTGGTCATGTAAATTCAAAATATTCAGTTCACCACAGAGTGGCTGGATGCCCTCTTGCAGAGAAAAATGCTGCCAACAGTTTGGAAGTCACAACAAATGGAACAAGTCCATCTTCTAGCATTAGACAAGGAGGACGAAGTGTTAAAAAGTAAGTATTTACTACGTGTATCACTTCTTATTAATCAATTTGTTGTTGTTTTTTTTATCATTAGAAGCTGTAAAATTTGGCTGTTAATTCATATTGGTTTGAGTGTTTTTTTACGTACCCATTGTTTTTCAAGATTTTAACATAGTTGAGTAGTAAACAGTACCACGTTTTTGGATCATTTTATAAAAGCTGGTGAATTAATATTTATATAAACTAATTTTTTCACATACATTACTAATAAACATAGTCACTGTTATAACTTGAAAAAGTTTAGAGTTGACTGCCTTGTGTGAATATATTTATGGTTTTGTAAATCTGGTTCCACATCTACTCCTGGTTATTTAATATACATGTGAAGCTTGTTAAATCTGATAGAGGGTGGGACTACTTCTGCATACTTGTTTGTTATAAAGGAACATCTTAGTGGGTACTATAATTTTTTTATACCAGTTTTTTTATTTTTTGCCTGATTGTCTGTAAAAATTGTTCTACAATATTATCCGAAGTAAGATGATGCTGTCTCTTTCCTTGACATTTAAAATGAAAACTGTGGTGTAATCTTTATAAATATTTATATATATATAAAAGAAACAAAAGCCAAAGTTCGTAATAAACTTTGTTAAAAGAATTATGAGCTTCATGATGTATCGTTCTTCAGGTATGTATGGTAGCAGTTCGTCTTGTAAATAACAGACATAAACATTGCTTCTTTTTAGTTTGAAGTAGTAAAGATATTTATCTTCTTTAAGAGTAAAGTTTGACTGATATACCCCAGAGTTCTTGTAGTAATTTATGCTTTCTTATGGATATTTCTTAACTAATGTTTTTTTTTCAATCCACACCAGACACAAGTTTGAGAACAGAGATGTGAACAGAAAACCTGAGGTTCAGCATGGTGAGTTTGCTTTAATTAAAAGTGTAATAAAAAAATATTTATTAAATGTTCATATTAAGTATAGTTCTGCAATGGAATAAAAGTAAATAAATTAACGTTTTGTTACAAAATGTACATATTTTTCATCGGTACCCTCCTGTTGATTGTGTGGTTAATGTTTTTTGTTTATTTTTGGTGCCATAAGTAATTTGCTGAATGAATGTTTTTGCTAAAAACATAGATACCCTAGAGGAAAGCAACTAATAACAGCAACCACTGTCAACTCTTGTCTGATCAGATAGCCATCACTATTATAGCGCACTGATGGCCTCAAAGTGTGGAGCATGGTATTGCAGCTACTGGCCATGCGTAACCCTCAGTGATACTGTACAATTGGTTATTGCAGTAAATTAAAAAGCTGAAATTTGGTATGTTTTGTATGAGTATCGTATTTGTCCACTAAGAAATTTGAAATATGCTAAACATGTTCGGTATGTTTAGCTCTGGAACTTGAAAGTCACTGAATTCATGTGTAGAATTTTAGTAAACATGTGCTTAAGCCACATGTACATATACTCTGTTTTAGGCCCTCACAAAAACAACACTAAACCTATGCAGAACAACTGGCAGGGTTAGGCTGACAAAAAAACTACAGTGAAACTTAAGATGACGTTAACCAGTATATACTACAGTAAAAGTTTACGGAGGAACCTATCGACATAACATTACCACTTTGTTCCGTAAACATTTTATTTAGAACATTCTGTTTCTTATTTTTACTTCCAGCTGAGTTTTCCAGAAAGAAAACAAAATTTTCTATTGACTTATTACATCGTTAGTTCCTGTGAAGATTGGTGATTAACATGAAAAGATTTTCCTACCATACAGGGGATGAGGAATCAAAGTCAAGCCAGTCCTCACTACAAGAGTATGTTCACCAGTCTGTATTTGATCCTCCATCTTTAATATAAAATGTATCATTGGCTGAACAGGTAGTTATAAAAAGGTGATACTGGGGATCAGTTATAGAATACGATTAATATAAAATGTATCGGTGGCTGAACAGGTAGTTATAAAAAGGTGATATTAGGGATCAGTTATAGAATATGGTTAATATAAAATGTATTGGTGG